GGACGTTTTTAACAAAAAACAAAAATCCGAAAAAAATTTCGATAAAACATACTTATGTGGGTTGGAATCTTTCAGATAAATAAATAATGTCATATTTTTATAAAAATTTTAATGATCCAAAGAAACAAAATTACAATGATTTTCTTATGTAAATGTAAATTTAAAAAAAGTTTTAATTATTGTGGGTATCTACCTCAAAATCTAGAACTGGAACATTAAATCCATCAACGTCTTCGACTACATTAGCACTTGTAAAATTTTCATAAAACGGTTTAGCGTCTGAAGGAATTAGATGTAAATAGCTTTTAATATCGTTAATTTTATCCTCTGACAGGGGTTTACCATTGGGCCAGAGTTGCATAAGCAGCGCCGAAAAGCTCTCTGTATTTAATCGTCCTCGTCGCTCAATATCCAAACATACACTTTCATCGCCAAAATAACTAGGTTTCATAAAGATGTGGTAAGGATTTTCTTTTGTTAATATAATTTGTTTTGTCTCCAACCAATTTATTTTTTCTTTATTGGTGCCAACTTTTCTGTTTATTGTGGCCTTCTCGAGCTGGTGGGTACTCAAAAACTATTCCTTTTTCATTTGTGTAGCTGTTATTGGAGACTTTTTACGACATGAATTTATTATATTTATATAGTCTAAAGGTGTATATATTCGTTCTTGACGTTTGAGTTGACATTCTATATCCCCAAAATCTTTATCATTTGGTAGAAAACTATGGCCGGAAATCAGGAATTTAAATGTTATAGTTTTTATATTATGGCTGGTTTGAAGAAGACTGGCCATGAGGAGTGTTATTTTAATATTACGGTTCTGGCCTCCACAAGAATCAGACCACAATATAAGATGTTCAACAGTACTTTCTATGTTTTCTAAATATTTTACAATACAGGAACCAACCTCCTGAGCTCCTCTTCCAGCAGTTCCTTCAAGCCATACATAGGAATAACTCTTATTACGTTTGCCTGAAAATACACCGAGATTATACAAGCAAACTTGCCTCTTATAATATATTACATTGGTTGGAATTTTGGGTAAAGGTAGAGTTTTTTGAAGATCGTATGTTAAACACTCTACATTATCCTCATCTTTAGCTCGTTTTAAATCTGCCTTTAATGTTTCTCGTGATTTTTGGGCCAAATCCTGATGAGTGTCGAGTTCAATTTGTAAAAGTTGCTTTTTATGATCATCCGTTTCATTTTCTAGTTTTATTTTAAATGAATCACATACCTGGCATGTGTCCTTCTTGGGAACATTAAATCTCAAATTAAATTTTTCGTAAAAAATCCTCTTATAAATACCAAATTTCACAGGGTTTTGAACTTCAGATTTGTATAGATCATAAATCTTTAATAATGAGAGATGTGCCGGTAAAAATAATGCAGACGTGTTTTCACGACAGTAGTGCGATATGTACTTAGGCAGTTTATTGATCTGGTTGATTATTTCCTGAATTTTATTTTCAGGGACTTTGTTTAAACCACCTTGTTTTCTACCTCTTTGATCAAGAATTGGAGCACGATTGTTTACCTTTCTCAGAGCTGTTGTTACTCTTGACGGAGTTATTCTAAGACTATTGATAAACATTTGCCTACAAATACGCTGATTAAGTAAGGAATATTGTCTGGAATACAGACGTCTTTCAGTGTTTCTTCCATACATTCTTTTTTTCGGCATTTCGTGGATATTATTGGCAATAAAGATAGTTTGGGCATTATAAGACCCAAGACTCCAAAAACGATCAAATTCTTGTTTTCGTGACTCTGTAGAAATCAACTCAGAACATTTCATCGGGCAGTTACAATTGTAGTCATATTGAAATTCTTTAGCAGCTTTCAATTTTCCTTTGTAGTCAATGTAAGATTCATTTTTGTTCCTATTAATCTTTGATGTTGCTCGCGTCATTGCAAATTTCTTTTTTCTACCCTTCTTTGGACGACCTGATGTACTGGCTAAAAATGGATTATCATCACAACTTTCATTGTTATCGGAACTCTCTTCATGTGACGATGGTATAAACATATCAGAGGAACCGCTACTAAAGACATCACTTATTGACATATTCTGTAAGAATAAAAAGGTAGGTATTATTAGATAATATTTTAAATAAAAATTTCAAAAAATTATAGAAAGCGTCTATTTTAATTAAAGAAGTTAACTTTTAATCAATTACCAGGTACCAAAAAATAAAACAAATTCAATTCATTCAAATTAATCTTTTTCATAAAGTTTACTATAGGTACTCATCGAAAAATAATTTTCATATGCTTTACATTATTGTATAATTACTTTAATCAATAATAATTGATGATCATAATAATAGGTATCAATTTAACATTGGTATAATAAGATTAATACATATGTGTTTACAAAATTGTGTGTACCTAAGGAAGTTGTATTTTTTCTTTTAGATTGTAACAATAGGTACATCAAAGTTTAGTTTTCATTAAATAGAAATAATATAGCGAATAGCATTATAAAGCATTTTACTAAACAGTATAGGTACAAAGATTTAATACTTACATCATAATCATCAACAGAATCTATGGTAGAAGCTGATTCAAAACATCCAGTTTTCTCGTTTAAAACCATTTCACGAATACGACTATTGGATGACGATGGTTCGCTGTGACGGTAGAATTCTGTCACATTGGTATCATCCATATTCTACAATATATTTAAATTATGTAATGATGTATAAAATGCATTTATTTTAAAAATTTAGTAAACAACATAAACTTTTAGAAGCCGTGTCTTATAAACTGATTATTTTTTCGTGATTTTCGGCCAGATTAAAGAAATACCACAAAACTCTATTTTCTTCTATTTTCTTTATTTTTTTTTTAAGATTTAGTAACAAAATAAATTGAAACGTCGTAAAAAAAAAGAGAGTTTTGTGTTATTTCTTCAATCTGGCCGAAAACCACGAAAAAATAATCAGTAAACAACATATAGTTATTTTTTAATAAAAAATTTCCGACTTACCTCAACATTGGTAATATTTGAATCAAATTCCACGCTAGACATTACACTATTTGTTTGGTTTTCCATAAGTTTTGCTAGCTCACACATGTATTTGCTTCTTTTCGACATAATTATTATTAAATAAGTATTTTTAAACCCGAACAGTCAGAAAAATCAGACACAACTGAATAAAAAGAAATGTTTATCAATACATAGGCACATTTACTTAAAACTAAAGGAAAGTGATTACTATGCTTAAGATGAGTACCTATAATAAATTAATTTTTATCGACCAAGTTCCAGGGTTTATACGCACAAGGCACGTTTTAAACATTAATAGGGCACATTCCCGTAATAAAATTTTATTATCGACCGAAATCGAAGATTCAAACTACTTTTAACATATTAATGAAATAGTAAACGTAAAATGATACCAAGTGGTTTGGACGATTTCTGATTATACTCTTATTTTTAACAAGTATACCGAAATTTATAAGTAGAAAACATCCAATTCACTTGGATGTTTTTAACACAAAAAAATGCACAGTAGTTTTGTTATCGCATGGAGCGTTAAAGTGATCCAACCCACTTAGCCTGTTTTAACCACTCTTTTAACACGATTACTTAGATCGACATACATTTTTTAGAAAAAATTCAACCCACTTGGATTTTTTATTATCAATGAAAATCTCAGTTAACCTAGTTTGTGGGTTAGAACTTTGACGATTATTAAAAGAGTATGTAATGTTTTCACTTGGACGGTTTCTGCATATTATAAAGCAAGAAATTATATGCTCGCTGGTGTAAAGAACTCATTTTTAACAATTTGTGGGTTGGACGTTTTCTGCTTAACTACGTCCACGTATTCAAGGCTATTCCCTCTACGTTCTTTTAGCTGACTGTTGTCATTATTTTTGAGGTAAAAGGAGCAAATTTTAGTTTTATTTGGATTGAATTTAAGGGGGTTTGTCGTAGAATTCAAACATGAACCACATCGGCGCTTCTAGATTAGTCTCTACCCACAGAAGGAAAAAGTCTTGAATAGCTATGGACAGATCATCTCTGTCCATATAGAAAGTGGTTTAAATTTAAGATTGGTATAAATATTGAACAGCATTGTTCATAAATCAACAAATACTACATCCATAATTCGTTTTTACTCATAATCACCCTCTATGTACTTAATACATGCAATTGCTTGTGCAGTGTATGATTTTCCAAGACTGTATCCGGCTTGCTGAGGGGTAAGATTCTGTTTGATAGTCTTTTCGACACGTTTTATTATCATTTCTCCAAATAGTTTAAATAAGTAGCATAATAGTGACATTGGGCTGTAACTGCTTGGTTATGCTAAATCTTTTTCATGTTTCAGCAAGATGATCACTTAGAATTTTCGCCAGGAATTTGGTACCTTCTTGATTCTCACACAGGTGTTGAATAGCTGCAGTATCCCTAATTTAGTACGAGGTCCAAAGTGCTTCATCTGTTCGAAACAAATATCATATACACAAGAATTCTTTCATTCTTTAACTGTTAGACTTTGTTTAGTTACTTTAAGGTAAACAGTGTATAAAAAGTCAACTTTCGTCAACGGTTGGACTTTTGATTTCTTTCAGATTTTCCTGTTTCTCAATAATTGTTGTTCTACTTGGTTGTCATTTACGTTTAAGATGCATTTACCTTGGGATTTTGAAAAAAATAAGGGGGCTGAAATCTATCAAGATTTCTCGGTCGTATAAAACGTTCATCAAAATTATAGTTATTTCTTTTGCTTTTGTTTAACAAAGCAAATGTTTTTCTTTAAAAATGCATAACTTTTGAATTAAATTATGGACAAAGAATTTTTCAGGTCAAAATGTATAAACTTCCTTGACTCAGTTTTTCTAAATTATTTCCTCTCAAGCAATTTTATAAAGCAGCTATGTAGACCGACAACAAGTTTCTAAGTCAATATTGACATTATCCAAATAATTATCGACAGTCTTAAAGTTCAGTGTTTCAAAGAAACATATTTACTATAACATAACTAATAGGGTCTCCATACAACGGCGTCTCCGTTTTGTCCAGGACCTCTCTGTGAACCATTGCTGCTCAAACCCCTGTTGTGGCCGTCGTCTTGGCGCGCCGCTGCTGCTGCGCAGGTTCCGTTGTTGCTGAGAAGCAAATCTGTACTACCGTTAACCATTTGTCGCTGATTACTGGTTGATAGATGGTCCATTACGCTTTGGAGATCATTGTGTTGGGCGTGGGTTGTGTGCGTGTGTAAAGAGTGGAAGTTATGGGACTGATTAGCTGCTGAATATAACTGAGAGTACAGTAAACCAGGTAAAACGGGATATATAGAGTTATTACAGTTGCTAGTTGAGTACGAGCTCTGCGACATGTTTTGGTGTAGGAAGTTGGAACTGTTGTTGACGTGATTTACCCCTAATGTACTTTGGGTATTCAAAAGATCATCTTGGACGGGACTTTCGGCTGCACTAGAGTTGTCTGATAAAGATCTAGGACCTGATAAAGTGAAGTCAGTGTGATTACTTGAATATCGAGGTACCAGAAGGGAAGATGTATGTGACGACGTGTGTGAATGATTGGTGTGGTTTTGTGCTGACACTAAACCAAGATGCTGGTCTAGATCTGTGGTTGAAGCTTCCGGTATTACTGAAACAAACAGATAGATTTAGTAAAAATGCATATTAATAATTTAAAAAATCTTAAAACGGGGCTAATACAACATAAATGAATGGAGAAGTTTGAAAACGATTTATTGCTTAAATTGTTTTAATGTTAAAAAAAGTTTTTAATAAAAAATCAAATATATATATCAACAAATCTAACTTATTAGACACATTTTGTTATCTTCAAGATATGTGAGACCTTTGAAATAACGTAGATGATATTCATGATTGGTATGGATAATTAATTCTGTGAGGTAAGCAGCACCTAGTAAAAGATGCATAAGAGTATATGTTGATATCAGATGAACATGTTTTATCATTATTAGCCTTCTTCCGATATGTGTATATTTTATAGCTTCGTTTACGTCAAGAATGAAACAGGAATAAATTAACACAAAAACTCCACAAAAATCGGTTCGTAGCCTAAACAAGAAAAACAGAAGTTGAAAATAAAGACTTTGGATTTTGGAATGATTACTAATCCGATGGGTGAAGATCACAAATATTAAAAAACGCCTTAAAGTATAGAATTCTTATTAACATATAATTATTAAATTCTATCTCAGAATGAAAAGGGCGAAGGCCTGTCTCCAGTACCTTAAAACCAGATCCTTTCGACTAAGGGTAGGATACTTTACATAAATCTTCCTGGTCCACCAGGATTATAGGTTTTCGCCCTGGTTCTGCTCTTCATCACATAGAAAAAAATATTTTATTGCAAAAATAAGAAAAAGATAGGGAAAACCAAACAACCCTAACTAAAAATATTAACTAACCCTAACTAACCTAAGCTAACCTAACCCTAACTAAAAATATTACAGAAAGATTACAGAAAGGGTTAATAAATGGAACTTGGAATGTTCAAGGTATTTGGATTAAACTTGATCAGGTGTTAAAAACCTAATAGATTTTAGATAAGATGTAATATTTCTGACATAAACAACAGAGAAAGAAAAGAGGACAGATTGGTTTAAATGTTTTGATCTAGTATCATCTAAATGTAGATGATAGTAGAATAGGAAGATCTAGAAGAGTAGCAGCAGATGTAAGTATACTGATAAAGAAAAGATAAAGTCGATTAATAATAAGCTTGTTAGTTAAGAACTTACGAACGCATTAAACACTATAAGGAATTAACTAGTTCATTAAGAGTGACATTATCAACATTACTCCATCTTAGCTTGTCCCCTGCTGGATATAAATCTTAGTAATAATTTTCTATCGGTTCTTATGACAACGTTATAGATCGTCAGTCCAACGTATTGGTGGCTGACCTCTGAGTCGGTAGGCATCATGTATTAAAGAAGCTCAACGGTTTAGTTATCTTTTCTAACGCGAATATCGTGACCTATTTACTTATAGACCTGGTCTGTGGATCTTGTTATTACGCAAATATCTTCGCTGACTACAATATTTGTCATTCTCTGGGTTTTAGATATATTTATTTTTAATTCCCCTTTTGGCTAGGAAAGGCATAGCTGATTTCAAATGGCTTTTGTTTTTAGCACGAGGATAATATTTTTTTCCCTCCATCCATCTTCCACTTCCCATTTTTCCTTTTTCTTAAAAATGAGTTCACATAAAAATTCTTCTGATGTAAGAAGTAAAAAAGCCTGTTACCTCACTCATTTCTCTCACCAAATCCAAAATTTTCAATAGCGGATTTTGCCGCATCTTGTTTGAATCTCAGTATTTAGTACAGCAGCTCTAATATCTTCATAAAATTAATCAAATTCTTTATCTGAGTGGTTCGGAGTTGGTACGTAAGCCTGTATAATTATAGGTTTGTATCTTGGATTTAATGGAATACTTTTGGTACCTATTTTTTATGAATTAAAAATTCTTCTCGATGCCTAACTTTTCTCGTACCTACTATATCTTATTTTATCTGTTTAAGTTCTTTATACAGTTGTATTATTGATGGTTCTGTTAATACGAGTTTGATCGTTGTAGGTACATGTATGCATTTGTCGTTTGTTATGGTGGCCATATCTTCTAAAATTGTTCCTAAAGATAATTCATAAGAGAATCTACAGGTTAGGTGAAAGTCAAATTTGCCCCAACCAGTTCGGGTTCACAAATGCTGTTGGTACTAGAGAAGCTTTGTTCTCAGTAAAAGTGCTATTCCAGAGATGGAGCGACGTCAACTGCGACGTATATGCATGCCTGATTGATTATGAGAACGAGTTTGATCGAGTACAGTACGAAAAGATGAAAATACTAAAATAAACAGAAATTAACAACCAAGATCTGAAAATAATTAAAAGTCTTTACTGGAATCAGCCAACAAATCTCAGAGTTGAAGGTGAATACACTGACTATGTGAAAATCATGCGTTAGGTGAGGCAAGGCTGTATTTTGTCTCCTCTAATCTTCAATCTGTACTCTGAAAGAATATTTATCGAAGCTTTGCACGAAACTGAAAGGTATTTTACTAAATGGTTACCGGCTAAACAACATCAGATATGCAGATGACATCATAGTATTTGCGGACAACTTAGAAGAGCTACAAGTTCTTATAAACAAAATCGCGTATTATAGTCAACAGTATACACTCAATATAAACGTTAAGAAAACAAAGCTTACGATAATAAGCTAGAAAATGATATTAGAAGGTCAAATCTACGTCAACCAATCCCGTGTAAAAAGAGTTACACACTGCAACTACCTCGGCACCCTAATAAATGAAGAATGCACCAACAACCAGAAGATTATAGCATGCATCAGAAAAGCTAGATCCACCTTCAATGGATGGGGGCCTTCTTTAAGAGTCACAACCTTTCTCCTGATACGAAAGTAAGAATGCTGCGATGCTACGTCTTCTCTGTCCTTTTTTATGGTGTTAAATCGTGGACCTTGAACGAAGATATGTGCAAAAAAATGAAAGCATTTGAGATTAGGCCATATCAGAGAATGCTTAAGATCCCGTGGGCAGACCAAGTCACAAATGAGGAGGTTCTTAGAAGAATGAATAAGAACCGAGAGGTACTAAGCACCATCAAATTTTAAAAGTTACAGTTCTTTGGACATATTATGTGAAATGAATCTAGATATGCTCTCCTTGAAGTCATCCTGCAAAGAAAAATATTTGGAAAACGACATCCAGGAAGAAGAAGAACATATTGGTTTAAGAACCTTAGAATCTGTTTGAAATACAACATCTGTGCAGCTTCTGTGTGTTGCTGCAGGTAAGATAAAGATTGCCATGATGATCGTCAACATTCGTAACGGATAGGCACATCAAGGAGAAGAATGGTGATTTGATCTTTTCCGGTGATTTTTAGCACTCTTTGCTAAACTAGTTTTAACCAGGTTTTTTCCCTAACCTTGGTTAGGGAAATTGTAACTGCCGAAAACTGAGGGCCGTACAACTGGTGTATCCATCATAAAACGAAATTTGGCCTTAAAACGCAGCATTGCCCAAGCGTGTTGGAGAGTTTTAGAGTGTATAGTAGAATGGAATATAGTGAAACATCTAGCCTCGAAAATATAATTTGAATATAGGCATTCAGGGTCGAAAGAATTAAGAATTAGCCAAGAGAGACTAATAAGAAAAAATAAAGACATTTAATGCTCTTATAATATGCCAGATGCGTTGCATAAGCGTATGAGTATTGATACACTTTGTGCTCTTGCTTATACCTTCAGCGTGGAGGAAAGGAAGCATGTCATTTTTACATACCACTACTCCATGGCCTGACCCTTTACCCCCACTTCATGGCCTGAGACCTTCTTCTTCTTTACGTGCCATCTCCTCTAAGAAGGTTGGCAACCATCATGGCAATTCGCACTTTCGACGCTACTGCTCTAAAGAGGTCAGCAGAAGTGCAGTTAAACCAAGCTCTCAAATTATTCAACCAGGAGAAGCGTCTTCTTTCGCGACTCCTTCTACCCTGTATTCTTCCTTTCATTATTAATTGCAACAAGTTATAATGCTCGCCCCTCATAAAATGTCCCAGATATTGCAGTTTTCTGAATTTAACTGTATTTAAGACCTCTTTATCTTTACCCATTCTTCTCAACACCTCGACATTCGTGACTCTATCTACCCAACTTATTCTTAATATACTTCTGTAGGCCCATAACTCGAAGGCTTCCAATCTGTACGAAACATCTTTTATAAAGTCCAATCTTCCAACCCATAAAATAATACGGAGAACACGTAGCATCTCAGAAGTCTTATCTTTAAAGAAATTGAAATGTCTCTGCTGCAGAGTACTTTTTTCAGTTTTTTGAAAGAATTTCTTGCCTGTCCTATTCTTGCCTTAATATCTTCTGTGTACTCATTATTTTCATTAATTATTGTAGCCAGTTATTAATATTTTTCAATTTGTTCTCCATGTATTATTATGCCTTCTTGGCGCTGTTGGGCTTTTGTAATTACCATAAATTGTGTCTTTTTTGTGTTTAGGGACAGTCCGTTTTCTTCACTAACTTCTACCACTCTGTCAACCATTTGTTTTAAATCCTCAAGACATTTTGCTAATAAAATAGTGTCGTCAGCAAACCGTATATTATTGATTGGTAGGCCATTTACTTTTATTCCCTGAGACCTTACATTCACTGTATTACCTGACCCCCAACTAAACAGTGACAAGCCCACCATAAAAACAAAAATTCGTAAGATGCCTTATACATATTCAAGTTGTAAATACATGAATGTACAGAATAAAAAGAAATATTTATACTCACATGAACTAACTGCAGAACTTGTGGTAAAGGCATCTTGTGTGGACGACTGATCGGGTGTACTTCCAGAAAAACCAAGGGCGGGTGTATTGAACTGAGACGTGGGAGCAGCACATGAACCTAAAGCTCCGGGTGTAAAGTAGGAGGAGTATGCACCCGCCGTACTGTAGCCCCAATGAGAGTTTGTACTACTTAAACCAAACTGAGGCATATCTGAAACAAAAAAAAAATGTTTTTGAAACCATATATCTGTAGTATTTCTGCTTTTATTCGATATTTCTTTAAGAATAAATATACCACAAATTATAAAATAAACTTTCTGTTTAATGTTCTGATTTTCAACATTTTCAACTTATTCAAATATAAGTTTTAAGTCTATTTTATGAAAATCTATATCCCATAATAATTTCGCGTTATAAACGTATTTTGCATAGCTCAAAAAACAATTTGTTGTGATAAACCGAACGTCCCGTTCGTTTTTGTAAAATATTTCCGGCAGGACGGTTAGACAACACGTTTCCAAAAGATAAAACTGGTGGAGTCCGATAATCCAGTGCTTTGCGTTTAATCCAAACCAATTTTAGGATTCCCTCTGTTGTCATTTTGTTGATCGGAGTGTACTATGTCAATGTGGCTAAAACAGTTGATGAGCATATCGACCAGGTCGCCCGCAGGTTTCACTCTTGTGCATCATGAGTGGTTCATAGCCGTTACTAGAGCTATTTTTTGTTTTGACATTTTTGATTTTAGAATAGGGAGATATAGTCCAAGCAACCTGTAGAGAAATAATTTTTTCATCCACAATTTGTATACCTTTTAGACCTACTATTTTTATTTATTCATCATTTCATTTAAGAATGTTTCATTGTCTTTATTTTAAATTTTATTCAGCACATTTATTTATTTTATTTACTTTAATTTATTTTTAACAGTAAACTAGTATTCATCTGAACCATATTTTCTTGCATTCTGTCTAAAAATTGAACAGTAATAAAAAACTTGTTATCAACAGAGTTGTATCAACAGGTCCTCGAAGACACTTCGTCTCAGAAGCATATAACCTATGTAGGGTTATACGTCGCCATGTTACCAATTCCAATGGTAACTTAAACATCCTAATTAGTATTGTGGAATGAAGCTATTTTCTTGTGGCATTGTAAATTAATTATTATTAAACTGGGAATAAGCCACAATTAAAGATAAAAATACGTTTATTTATAAAAATAAACGTATTTTTATCTTTAATTGTGGCTTATTCCCAGTTTAATAATAATTAATCCTAATTTGTAATTATAAATAATGTAAAACAACTAGAAATTTGTAACATTTAAAGGGTTTTGACCCACATATTTTGGTGGGTCATAGCATGTATACTCCGTTTACACTGATGATGGAATTAGCATTCCCAAAACGTTCTGTAATATAATTGTGATAGACCGTTTGGGCATTTTATTATATACCTTTTATAAAGGATTTGAAATCAATTTTTTTGTGATATATGGTATACAGCCAGCTACAGGAACTTAGTTTCCTAGTGGGTTAAATTATGGTTCAGATGTGCTCATCGACAAAATAAAAGACAGTGTAATCAGTTTTATAGGAACATTATCTGGTAGAGTTTGCAATGAAACAATTTAATAGCACGTGAAACATATCGAATAACATATTTTGATTCACATTTATATTATAAGAATTGTTAAAAAAGTAAAAAAGAATGTGAAAATTCTTCTAATATTTGTTGATCTAGAAAAAGCTCCAAAAATATACAAGTTCGTTGAGGTTTTCCAGAAACTTTGAACTATCGAGAAAGATTTAGTGATCATCATAATTGGTATTACAGTTCTATAGTAGAGCTTTTACCTTCTTAATTTGTCCGATCAGTATATTCATTGCACACCGTTACTAGTTTGTTGCACCTATTTTTCTAGCATCATCATCTAAACCATTCTTCCATCTAAGTTTTGGCCTACTTCTTCGTCGGAATTATTATTTAACGAAGCCTTAGAAGGACAATGTGGAGTTTTGAATTGAGGGAAAAACTATTAACAACATCAGATATTCAGATGACACACCGACCATGACTGAAAGTATTAAATAACGTACTTGATTAAAAACAAAGTTACTTGTGGCTAGTAAACCACATGTTTCAACTAATTGTCAAAAATTAGCCGATTACAAAAGTTAAGCATTTTCAATACCTACTATGTAGGATAAACGAGACACTAAGTCCGGATCAATAAATTAAAGTTCACATAAAAATTGCAAGAGGGTCATTTATAAAACTAAGATCTGTGCAATTCTCAGTTGAATTTACAACTAATAATCAACTTTCCCAAATGTTATATTAATATTGTATTACTATATAGATGTGAAACCTGGATCATTGAGGTTAATATGATGAACAAATTAGAAGCCTTCGAGATGTGGTTATCTGAGAGCAGATGAATAAAAAGAAATCTTAAAAATCTGGGGCATATAACCAGATTTAGCAGATAATGCGTATTTTAGTTAATATTCAGGGCTGTTAGCTAGATTAAATTAGATTAAGGGAGAGAGAGAGATTAAGGCCTTTCCACCTATTCCATTGCGATCTATTTAGAGTTATTGTGGTCCTCTAGTCCTAGACAACATTCTCTAGCCTGACCCTCTTTATAAAGTCTAGTAGCTTCGAGAATGCACCTTCCATGTAGCTATTTGCCAGTGAATTTTCTTGTCCTAATGTAAAGAACCGCACATTTGCCAGATTATCACACTGGCATAAAATGTGCTCTGTTGTTCCTTCTTCGAGGTGACAATCTGCACAGGTCATCATCTGATAATCCCACCAGGTTCAAGTGCCTATTCAACTTACAGTGACCTGTTAAAAGAGCTACTATGACTTTCACTGTTATTCTGTCTTTGCTTATTAGGTATGCCGTAAATTTTGGCAAAAGTTCTGTAATGAATTGTTTTGCCTATCTTTGTCCTGGTAAATTACTCCACCATTCCAGAGATTTGTGAGCTACCCACTTCCTTATAGCCGTTCTGGTTACTGACTTTGCAACGCCGCAGAAGGGATCCGATAAAATGAAAGGCATTGATGAGCCTTGTTTGGACATTTCATCTTCTTTTTCATTACCCTCATGACCCTCATTCCCCGGTATTAAGGCTACCGTAACCTTGCTACTGTCTCCTAGTTTATTTAGGGCACACACGTAATCCCATAATAGCTCAAAATTGATCTCTATAGAATTAAGTACCCTAAGCGATGACTATCTGTGAAGATGGCAACTGAACAGACCGTTCTTTTCTGCCTTTCTATTTCTTTCACGCAGTGATGGATTGCAGTTATTTCCATTTGGAAAACTCTCACATCCTTATATAGACTTACCGGGAAATGTATCCCTTGATTTGTCCCTACTATGCCGGCTCCCGCACTCTCCGATGTTTTTGAGCCGTCTGTGTACCAGGTAGCAGCAGCTTGTATAGGTACACCTTTATTCCAGTTTTCCCTGCCTGATATTCTTATTGTGAGCTAATTGTTAAAGCTAGTAGCTGTTGCATTAATAGGTTATCCCATCACAATATTGGCTTTTAGCTCCTCAATAAGCTTTCTGTTGTCAGTAAAATGCATTTGGCTTATATGTCGCTGACTATAGATTAATCTGTGCATCACCGATCTGGCTTCGCCGTGTATAATGATATAAAGTGGTAATAAATTCAACAGGACTTTCAACGATGCAGTAGGAGTTGTTTTTATGGCCCCCGTAATACACAGGCATATTAGTCTGTGTATTACCTGGCAGACTTATTGCTCTGACTTGTTTGTCTACCACGTGACCGAGCCATAGGTTTTCATGGGTCTTATAACCTTTGTGTATAACCATAGAGTCATTTTGGAGTTACGTCCCCAATTCTTACCGCACATTCTTCTACGTACGCTCAGGGACATAATAGCTTTCTTTCACTTGTTTACAGCAGTCGTCAACTATATTTAGGGCTGCTTACATTTTCTCAGACCACCTGAGCAAACTTGCCTCTGACAATGATTGCTATATCGTCAGCATACCCTAGACAATAAAAACATTCTGTGGACAGATGAGAAGGTCGTCTATCAAGGTTGCCCAAAGTAGCGGGGACAGAACTCCTCCTTGTGGACAGCCTCCACCTACTTTTGCTTTGATGGTTGCTTTATCCAGAGTGAACATTACTCACCTATTCTCCAGGGATACCCTTATCCATTTACTCTAGCTTCCATCATAGAGCTGGTGATAACATTATTAAATGCCCCTTTAAAAGACGTTATTTGGTATGAATAAGTGCATATAATGCCTGAGAATGCTGCTTCTTCTTCGTTTTCTTTTTATATAGATATGACTCTGTCTGTTTTTCAATGCGCCTTAAGTGAGTTGTCGTTCCCTAGTTTTCGTGGTCTTTCTAATAATCGTCTTCCTATTGAGCCTGGGAATGCAGGTAGTCAAAAAAGATAACCAAGAACAGGTAGACCAAGACAGCCTTGGAGAGAATATGCTAAGATGCAATGACAACGATGCAATGAAAACGCTGAAAATCGGGATGCCAGAAACGACGCCTACTACAAAAAATTCGCCTATTATATATTATGTTTGCATGATGTATGGTAACGCGATAGTTCGTAACCCTACAAATGGTAACTGACGTAAGTCGTAACACTGTCAATTCGTAACGACTACACCTCGTAACATCGCCGTTTCGTAACTAGAACTCTTCGTCATGGAATTTTGCATTTCTGGATGTAGAGAAAAATGCATTATGCCTACGTTGAATACATAACTACGCTCAAGATAGTGGTACTGTCTTTAAGACCACTTTTTTTAAAATATATTTCACACATATTTTTGCATATATTTTGGTTAATATGACAACTAAAAAATATTTATGTAAAAAAATTATCCTTTGAATACAATTAAGTCTAAATAATAAAATGTAACAAGTAGAAACCGCTTTAATAATAATGTATTTATTATAATAATTAGTACAGTTTATATTTCAAATATCAATCAAGTATAACCAAATATTATAATAGTTTTAAAAGTATGCATATTTATTTATTGCATTAATTAAAACCACATGTTTAAATTATAACAATAAATAAATATGCATACTTTTAAAATTATATGCCTGGTTATACTTAATTGGTATTTAAAATATAAACTCTATTAATTATTATAATAAGTACATTATTATGAGATTAC